TTTGAATTCTCCTACTTTTTACAGTAAAATGGACCCTCCTAGCCATGATCTAACCAACCCTAGCTCACGAAACAGAAAGGGGTGGTTGAAATCGGGTTAGTTTTTTTAATTCATGTTTTCATAGATCTTTTGTTGCCCTTAGAATCATCAATCTCTATTTGAAGTCTCAAAACTTTTTCCAATAAAGTGGGAAACTCGAGCCTTTGATGGCCAACCCTAGCTAATTAACAGGACAAATAGTGTTGAACGTTTCAGTTTTTTGGTCTAGTTTTGCCCGCTTTTTGGGCCCATTGAATTACAATCTCTAATTTCGAATTCCGATGTTCTCTATCAAAATTGGGACATCATAGCTTTGATCGAGCCCAACCTAGCTCGGGACACAGACGGGTGGTTGAATGGTGCAGTTTTTTGATTCTGGTTTTCAAATCTTTTGTGTCCATTTAGAATCCTAATCTTTAATTTGTTTCTCACAATTTTTCCAATCAAAATTGGACACTCTAGCTTTTCATCTATAACCAAACTAGCTCGAAACAGACAGGTGTGTTGGAATCGGTTCGTTTTTTAATTTTCGTGTTTCCAGTTCTTTGTGTCCCTTAGAACCTCAATCTCAAATTGGATTCTCATACTTTTTCCACAGGCAAATTGGACACTCTAGCCTAGATCTAACCAACCCTAGCTCACAAAACGGAAGGTGTGTGGAATCGGGTTTAGATTTTTTTAATTCCGGTATTTCAAGATCTTTTTGTGTCCCCGTAGACTCATCAATCTTAAATTTGAATTTCATTACCTTCCAATCAAAGTGGCCCACTCCTTGCCTTTGATCTAGTCAACGATGCGTACGTAACGGAAGGGTTTGGATTGACGTTCAGTTTTTGATCAGGTTTTTAAAGATCTTTGTTCCCTTAGAATCATCAATATCCATTTGAATTTCATACTTTTCCAGTCAAATTGGACCTTCTAGCCTTTGATCTAACCAACCCTAGTCACGGAAACAAACAAGGTTTTTGAATCGGTTCAGTTTCTTAATTCATGTTTCACAGATATTTTGTGTCCCATAGAATCCTAAATCTCTACAATTTGAATTCTCAAACTTTTTCCAATAAATTGGGACACTCCTAGCCTTTGATCTAGCCAACCCTAGATAATTATACAGACAGATATATGAATGTTTAGTTTTGTTGGTTCAGTTTTCGCAGATCTTTGGGCCCAATTTGAATTAAATCTCTAATTCGAATTCTCATATGTTTTCCAATCAAATTGGTGGAACAGTCATAGCCTTTGATCGAGCCAACCCTAGCTCCACTGAGCAGGGACCGGGTTGTTCAATTGGTTCAGTTTTTTTTTATTCTTGTTTTTGTAGATTTTTGTGTCCAGTGGAATCACAATCTCTAATTGAATTTCAACTTTTCGAATCATTGGGACACTCCTTGCCTGTGATATGGCCAAACCCTAGCTACGGAATATACAGGTGTTCTTGAATCGGTTCAGTTTTGATTGTGTTTATGTAGATCTTTGTGTCCATTAGAATCTTCCACATGTCAAATTTGAATTATCATACTTTTTCAGTCAAATTGAACACCCTAGCCTTATGATTGACCAAACCCTAGCTCCGAAACCGACAGGGGTTGTTGAATCGGTTTAGTTTTTAATAATGTTTTATAGATCTTTTGGTACCTTAGAACTCATCAATCTCTAATTTGAATTATCATCTTTTGCCGCAAATTGGACACTCCTAGCCTTATTCTAACACCAACCCCAGGCACGGAAACAGACAGTGTTGTTGAATCGGGTTATTTTTTTAATAATTCATGTTTTCATAGACTTTTGGTGTCCATTAGAATCATCAATCTCTAATTTGCATCTCATACATTTTCCAATCAAATTGGACACCTTGCCTGTGATCTAGCCAACCCGAGCTTACGTAACGGCACGGTGGGTGGATGAATCGGTACAGTTTTTTGATTCAAGTTTTTTGCAATCTTTGTGTCCATTAGAATCCTCCATACAAATTTGAATTCTCATTACTTTTTCAGTCAAATTGGACACTTAGAGCCTTTGATATAACCAACCCTAGCTCACGGAACAGACAAGTGTTTTTGAATCGGTTCAGTGTGGTTAATTCATGTTTTCACAGATCTTTGGTGTCCCATAGAATCCTCAATCTCTAATTTGAATTCTCAAACTTTTTCCAATTAAATTGGACACTCCTAGCTGTGATCTAGCCAACCCTAGCTAATTATAAGGACAGATATTGTTGAATCGTTTCAGTTTTTGTAGAAATTATTTGGGGCCAATGGAATTCTAAATCCTATAATTCGAATTATCTCGTATTTCTTCCACATAATTGGACACTATAGCCTTTGATTGAGCCAACCCTAGCTCACGGAAACGACCGGTTGTTGTGGAATTGGTTCAGTTTTTTTGATTCTTGTTTTTGCAGATCTTTTGTTCCATTAGAATCCTTATCTTAATTTGAATTCTCACACAATTTTCCAGTCAAAATGGGACACTCTAGCCTTTGATCTAAGCAACCCCAGATCAAGGAACAGACAGGGGTTGTGGAATCGGTTTCAGTTTGTAATTTCGTGGTTTCACAGATCTTTTGTGTCCTTAGAATCCTCAATCTTCAATTTGAATGCTCCATATCTTTTTCCAATTAAAGTGGACACTCATAGCCTTGGCAGCTAGCCAAACCATAGCCGTAAGTATTAAAGACAGTATTATTGATATGTTTCAGTTTTTTGGGTTTAGTTTTTGCAGATATTTGGGCCATTGAATTCAAATCTAATCGGATATCATATGTTTCCAATCACATTGGACTATCTAGCCTTGAGCGAGCCAACCTACTGCACTAAGCGACGGGTGTTTTGAAGGGTGTTCAGTTTTTTTATTCTTGTTTGGCAGAACTTTTGGGTCCAGTAGAATCATCAATCTCTAATTTGATATCATAATTTGGTCGAATTCAAAAGTGGACAACTCCTGTTATTATGGACAACCCTAGCCTCACGAATATAGGTGTTGTGAACGGTCGGTTTTTGATTTGAATGTGTTGTTGTAGATCTGTTGTGTCCCAGTAGAATCTCAATGTCAAATATGGAATTCTCATAATTTTTCCAGTCAACTGGACAATCCAGCCTATGACTAACCAACAATAACTCACGCAAAGGAAATGTGTGTTGAATGGTTTAGTTTTTTTAATTATGTTTCATATTGTTGTGTCCCTGAGGAAACATCAATCTTTAATTTGAATTCTCATACTTTTTCCACGCAAATTGGACACTCTTGCTTTGATCTAGCCAAACCCTCGTAGTAAAGGACGGGTTGTGGAGAATCGGGTTCAGTTTTTGTTTTCAGGTTTTGAGATCCTTTTGGTCCTAGCATACTCAATCTCTAATTTGAATTTCTCAAACTTTTTCCAATTAAATTGGACACTCATAGCCGTGATATAGCCAACCTAGCTAATTATAAGGACAGAAGATTGTTGAATCGTTTCAGTTCTTGCAGATATTTGGGCCCATTTGATTCTTAACATATAATTCGAATTATAGGATGTTTTCTCCAATCAAATTGGACATTCATAGCCTTGTCGAGCCAACCGAGCTCATGGAACTAGACAGGTGGTGTTGATGGTTCGTTTTTGATTCTTGTTTTGCAGATCGTTGGTGTCCATTAGATCCTTAATATTCCTTTTGAATTCTAACACTTTTTTTTTTTTTTTTTTTTTTTTTTTTTTTTTTTTTTTTTTTTTTTTTTTTTTTTTTTTTTTTTTTTTTTTTTTTTTTTTTTTTTTTTTTTTTTTTTTTTTTTTTTTTTTTTTTTTTTTTTTTTTTTTTTTTTTTTTTTTTTTTTTTTTTTTTTTTTTTTTTTTTTTTTTTTTTTTTTTTTTTTTTTTTTTTTTTTTTTTTTTTTTTTTTTTTTTTTTTTTTTTTTTTTTTTTTTTTTTTTTTTTTTTTTTTTTTTTTTTTTTTTTTTTTTTTTTTTTTTTTTTTTTTTTTTTTTTTTTTTTTTTTTTTTTTTTTTTTTTTTTTTTTTTTTTTTTTTTTTTTTTTTTTTTTTTTTTTTTTTTTTTTTTTTTTTTTTTTTTTTTTTTTGGGGCCCGGTTAGCTACAGGAAGAAAAAGTCCCCTACAACAAGCAATTTTATACTATGAAATTCAACATTCTTTGATCCACAAAATGTTGGCGAATCTCTATTTTTTGTTGTTGTATTTATGGGTTTAACCCATATTATTTGTTATAAATAAAATCCTTTTTTTTTAAAAAAAATTCTTGCACAATGGGCTAATAGTTGAAAATCATTAGAATGAGAGATATTGGAAATAATTTAAATTTTAATTCCCCAATATCGCTTGTATAAATAAAATAATTGAAGAAATAAATCTAGCCCAATGGGCTAAAGTGGTATTTTAGCCCTAGACCTTAAAACGATAGGACAAAAATGTATATTTAAAGGGTAAATACATTAGAATATTTTAAAAGTATAGCCGAACGGCTAGAGTCTTTAAATATTAACATATTCGAATATTTTAAAAGTATAGCCGTACGGCTATACACTGTAAATATTATCACGAAGCTTGGACTTGCAGTCACAGCCATTTCGCTTTTCTATCAAACTCAAAGCTTCGATTGGTTTTCTTCGGTTTCGACTGCTTCGTCCTCCAGATTCGGCATCGTAAAAAGACCCAACCCGCCTAGGAGGCCAGCCCAGCCGCCTAGCCCCCGCCTAGCCGCCTAGCGCCCGCCTAGCCCACGCCTAGCCCCCGCCTAGCCGCCTAGAGCCCGCCTAGCCGCCTAGCGCCCGCCTAGCCCCACATCGCTGACTTGTTGCAGATTTTGACCGAGAAAATTCTGATATCGGAGACAGGGTCGAGTTCCAGAGCCGTAGAATTGGACCATATTCAGGAGGAGATTGAGGAGGTGTCTGCCGTTCCGGAAGTGAAGGAGAAGAAGAAGAGCAGAAATGCTTTGAGGAAGGGGTCGGAAGGTGAAGAGGTCCGAGCTATGCAGGTCTGCTTGCTTTTGAAATGCGAGTTTTGATTTTTCGAAGTCTATCATTCATTTCTTGTGTTTTGTTTTATGATTTAGTGTTGTCTTTGAATTATAAAATGGTACTTTTGAATTTGGCAAATTGAAAACTGAGCAGCATACAGTTTTTTAGGACTTACAAGGGGGTATTAACTTTGTCTTTAGTATAGAAAGTTGTTAACTTTTGTTTCTTTTCTTTTCCTGGTAACTGGGTTTGTGTGGTTATTTCCTTTTCTAGTGTTTGCTTCGTTTTTGGATGTAATATTTGTGATTTCGACTTGTTCTAAATTAGGATTTTAATATAATGTTCCTGTTATTTGACAGGAAGCATCGCAAAAACTAGGATTTTACTTGGGTGAGGAAGACATGGAGTTTTCCAGCTTCTCAAGCGGGACCGAACGTGCTGTCAAGACTTGGCAAGTAAGTTTCAATTATCATTAGATGTTACTATGTATAATGCATGAAGTGTAAAATTTCAGAATCATCAAGTTGAACAAAAATTTCACAACGCAAAATATATATGTTAGTCAACTCGTAATATCTTCTCTGACAGGCCTCCTTAGACGCCCCTCAAGATGGCATAGTGACTGCAGAACTTCTTGAACAATTATATACGGTGGCACAAATTGAGGGTTTGGATAACAAAGGGAGTACTCTGACTGCTACACAAAAGGTATAGCCTTCTGACGACATACCATTAGCCTTTATTAAGTGGAAGCCGTTGATGTTTTAAGTTTCAGTACCAATATATCATTCCTCACTTGGAACTGAACATAATGGTTTGGTAAGTCATTACTTGCATTCCTCAAGAGGAGCCAAAAACTCATTTGATGGTTCAATTTGAAGTGAACTAAGCCTTCATTTTCTTCACCCAGATTGTAAAGAATTGTAGCAAACAGTACTAAGTACCAACCATGAAGCTCTGTTACTTAATTGAGAAATGGACCTGAAGCTCCGACTCTATTTTCAGTAACTCAGACATCAGGTTTCTTGGTTCCAGTTCATGAGACAATCACTTAACATGCAAATAAATACGATATGATATGACAGTGACGTAATGTGCTGTGGTAACTGGTAACACACCGTAACTTATTTTGGATACTAATAAATGTAGCTGATTATATTGGTAAACTGATTTTCTTCTCCTGGTTGGCCTTGAGCTAGCAACCTGATCATGTTCGTATAAGCTATAGCGAACTACTACATAGGCTGAAACATCGTAATTCTTCAAATGGTTGTGTGGGTTATGTTGTTTGGGAAGATACAAATGGAGCTGCAGTTACTTCTGGAACAGAAATTTCAGAGGTCCAGCAAACACTTGTGAAAGAAGGCGTTACAAAAGTAAAGGTATCTAAGCATCATGTTTTTCTCCTTGGAGAGAACCGCTGGAAAGATTCGTCTAGACTTAGCAGGAACCAAAAAAAAGTAGGTGAAAGCAAGACAATGAATACCACAACAAGGTGTCTTACTTGTCGAGGGGAGGGTCGCTTGTTGTGCGCAGGTACCTCCTGTCTGTCTCCCGTCTTAGTCACTATATTCCAGTTTATAAATCATTGCCATGCTTCGCTAAACTTTTGCAGAAGTACTCTAAATCCACCCATACTATGAATTTGTATATTTATTTTGTTTGATCTGATTTTTAAATATAATGTTGAACACCAATGGCTTTGATGATGATATGCATTAGTTTTATTTTTGTACTTCTGCATATTTTGTTTCAACTATCCTCAGTCCCCTTGGTAGCTTATCTGTATTTCTTTGTTGCAGAATGTGATGGAACAGGCGAGCCAAACATTGAAGAACAGGTTAGAGGTTTCAAACACAGATATTAATATTCTCATTTTTGAGCATTATCCATCCAGGATGAAGTTTTAATTATTTTGTTAAATGACAGCAGTTCTTGGATTGGGTGGAAGAAGGAGCAAAATGTCCATATTGTGAAGGTCATGGGTTTACAATTTGCGACGTATGTGAAGGGGCAACAGTAGCTTAGGTATAAAAATATCTTCCCATAAAGACGTGCAGTTTTATGCTTTAGTACATGTGTTTAATGGTAGTTTGCATTTATAAACAAATGCTGAAAATCATATGTATATCTACAGTTTATTATATAAGTCAACGGGGTCTAGCTTAGTGAAAAAGGACAATGACTTGCAAACCAGAGATCTCATGCTCGAACCACGACATCATACTTGTTTGTGTGTGTGGAAAATTCCCCTCCCCTTTTAGACTATTGCTTGCACTATAAAATAATAATAATAATAGTAATAATTTAAAAAAAAAAAAAACAAGTTGACGTTATACTTGGAAATTAAAGAGAAAAATAAAAAGGGAAGTTGCCAGTCGGCAAATTTAATACTTGATCAATAATTCAACGACCAATTGTTATGAATACACGCTATCTCCTCGTGTAATGGAAGGCAAAGCAAGGCCAAGGGTTAACAATTTTTGGCATGGAGTTACTGTGTTTTTCCCATTTCTCTGTGATTGTTGGCTGGGGTAACAATTTTTACCTTAATAAGATGAAAACCAAATCCAGTATGAAGTAAGTTAATTTAACCATTACTCAATAGGACGTGTTAATGCAATTAGTACTTCAACCGCTCTCTCTCTCTCTTCTCGCTCTCTTTCTTCGTTGAAACATTCCTGCAACAAACCATTTGCTTGGTCATGAACCGACTGTGGTCGGTAGATGAGAGTGTGGCCGGTCGATGTTGGTCCCATAATTTCCTTCATCGACTTAATTGGTTTCTGTTTGGTAGGTAGTTCCAACCACTTGGTCTGGTTAATCAAACTGTGCTTAGCCCTAGCCTCCAAAACCAATGCACTGCATTGAAATGTGAGAAGTGCTTTTGAATCAACAAAGCATGCACTGCATTGGAATGCGAGAAGTCCTTTGGAACATCCAGAGCATGCACTGCATTGGAATGTGGAAAGTCCTTGTTGAATGAACAATTTTCCAACACTCCATCAATTAATTCTCTTGTTGGTCCTTATTATAAATGATTACCATATGCATTCAGCCTTGCATTCTTCAACTTAAGGTGATTGTTTTCCCAGGTTTCTGTTTATTATTTAGTAATCTTTTTGTCTCAGTGCTCGATCTTTTAAAAAATTATTTTTAAATTCCTTGTCATACTCTTGCAGATGGACAACGGAAGATGGCAGGACTTATACAAACACATTGCAAACACACGAACCTAGAGCTGATTGGCAAGTGGAAAAACTTGGAGGTGTTATCATTGGGTTGATAATTAAATTTGGCGAAAATACTTGCAATTATACAAACACATTGCAAGAATTTTTATGGTTTAGATTTGTCCAAAGGCTCTAATCATGGACGTGGGGCATTGTCAATTGTGAAGTTGGGGCCTAATATAAAGTACTTAAATTTGAAGGGTGCAAAAGTTAATTGGGATGGTCTTGTCACGTTGCTGCACTGATGCAAAGATCTGGTGATGTTGGACGCCAGAGATTGGTGCTGGTTTCAATGACAACGACGATGAATGTCAAAGCACATTTGTCTCATATTAGTAAATTTATGTGCGAGGGTTTTGAATTTTCTGAATTTCTTCTTGGTATGGGACAATTTGGTTCTTCCTGTTGATGGAGACTCATTTCATCTGCATGTAGAGGAGACGTCGGATGAAATGCTCAATGATTTGCGCGATGCGTTCAATGATTTGGGCAACGAGGAATGAAGAACTATTTGATTGTACAAAGTGATATCTCATCTTTTTTTATATTTACAACACAATTGAGCAATTATGTGTGCTGAGTGTGGTGCGGTGTTCATCTTGTGTTTTTGGACATTGTTACTCAATGAGGGCTTGTTATAAGTTCCTGTCTTGATTTCATTATAAGATGTTTGCTTAATTTGGAAAATGGTCGTTCAAAATTCCTTCGCTACATTTTCTGTAATATCACATGTGCTCGCGATTGTTCTTTAGCCTTGCCTCTGCCTCATCTATCCTAACTTTCCCTTCCCACCAAAGGTTTTCCTAGCTAAATTTCTTTGAGGTTCAAGGAAAAATTTCTTGGTGAAAAAGAATGTTGGTTGCACCAGTTTAACAACAGGCACAACCAGTAGACAAATGAAATAATATGTTATATGTAAGGCCCAGTTTGGAATTGCTGTCACTTTAAAAAAAGTAGCTTTTTGCTGTGATTTGAAAATATTTAGCTGTAAAGTAAAGCAGCTCCATGTTTGGTAAACAATATTTTCAAAGTACTGTTAGTACAAAAAGTAGTGTTTAAAACCGTTTGGTAAATTTTAAAATAAAATTTTTGTAATTGTGAATAATGACTAAAATAGACATGATGTTGAAAGTGTTATGTACTAATCATGTGGGTTTAGTGGTGTTGATGGAGTGAAGGTGGTGGTGGTTATGAAGGTGGAGTTGATGGTTGTGTGTAGTGGTGGTGGGTGGGGGTGGGGACGACGGTTGTGGAGATGGTGGGGGTGGCAACAGTGGGTAGCATGGTGGTGGTGGTGGTGTTGGTTGTGGAGATGGTGGGGGAGTGGAGGCTTTGGAGGAGGAGGTGGTTGTGGTGGTAGTGGTGTGGTGAGGTGGAGGTGGAGGAGGTGGTGATGAAGGTGAGTTGATGGTTGTGGTAGTGGTGGTGGGGGGATGGCGGTATGAGAGGTGGTGGTGGTGGGGGTAGTGGCAGCATGATGGTGGGTGGTGGCGTTGGTTTAGAGATGGTGGATGTGGAGGTTTTGGAGGAGGTGGTGGTTGTGGTGGTGGTGGTGGGGGTGGGGGTGGTGTGTGGGGAGGTGGAGGTAGAGGAGGGTGGTTGTGGAGGTGGTGGATGGTGTGGAGGTTTGGTGAGGTGGTGGAGGTGGTGGTGGCAGGTGGTGGAGGCAGTGATGTGGTGGTGCAAGTGGTGGATGTGGAGTGGGTGTTCATTGTTTAAAATGAATTATGATATTTTGGGAATTTAAAGAATTCATTAAAGGTTCATCTCTGCTTCTTTTGAAAGCAGCTTTGAAAAGCAACCCAGAGTCTGCTTTTAAAAGCTGCTGTTAAAGGACACTGCTTTAAAATAATTGGGATATTTTATTTTTACCAAACACCTTAAAAACTTAAAAATAAAACAAAAAATCCTATACGAGGCCTAAGAATGAGATGCTAATTCTCATATAACGCATGTTGTTTGAATTCTCATTTAGAATAGTTCGTATATCAATGTCATATGATTTATGTTACCTTCAATTTATTTCAAACCAGAGTTGCAAACTTCTTTCATTGTCTCGTTAGACTGTTTTGTATCAATTTTTCATTTGCATAGAATACATCGCGGATTGATATATCACATTGCAGAAGAGAAGGGTTGTCAAGTGCAATAAGAAAAAAGGCTGTAATTGGGTTTAGTTCATAATTACGATGGATACATTTTAAAAAGTAAATTCCTATACAAGCAATTTTATACTATGAAATTCAACATTCTTTGATCCACAAAATGTTGGCGAATCTCTATTTTTTGTTGTTGTATTTATGGGTTTAACCCATATTATTTGTTATAAATAAAATCCATTTTTTTTATAATTCTTGCACAATGGGCTAATAGTTGGAAATCATTAGAATGAGGTATCGGAAATAATTTAAATTTTAATTCCCCAATATCGCTTGTATAAATAAAATAATTGAAGAAATAAATCTAGCCCAATGGGCTAAAGTGTATTTTAGCCCTAGACCTTAAAACGATAGGACAAAAATGTATATTTAAAGGGTAAATACATTCGAATATTTTAAAGTATAGCCGAACGGCTAGACTCTTTAAATATTAACATATTCGAATATTTTAAGAGTATAGCCGAACGGCTATACCTTTAAATATTATCACGAAGCTTGAACTGCGCAGTCACAGCCATTTCGCTTCTCTATCAAACTCAAGCTTCGATTGGTTTTCTTCGGTTTCGACTGCTTCGTCCTCCAGCTTCGGCATCGTAAAAAGACCCAACCGCCTAGGAGGCCCGCCCAGCCGCCTAGCCGCCTAGCCGCCTAGCCCCGCCTAGCCCCGCCTAGCCCTGCCTAGCCGCCCTAGCAGCCTAGCCCCACATCGCCGGCTTGTTGCAGATTTTGACCGAGAAAATTCTGATAGCGGAGACAGGTCGAGTTCCAGAGCCATAGAATTGGACCATATTCAGGAGGAGATTGAGGAGGTGTTTGCCATTCCGGAAGTGAAGAGAGCAGAAGAAGAGCAGAAATGCTTTGAGGAAGGGGTCGGAAGGTGAAGAGGTCCGAGCAATGCAGGTCTGCTTGCTTTGCTTTTGAAAGCGAGTTTTGATTTTTCGGAGTCTATCATTCATTTCTTGTGTTTGTTTGATGGTGTATATCATGCTCATCTAACAGATCATTTCATATTAATG